TATATATATATATATATATAAGGAGGAATTCATTTATTCTAAGAATAAATTTGCATAAAAAGTATGCAAATTTTTTAAAATTTAAAATTTATTTAATACTTTATTTTATTAATTCAAATTAATAGATAATTATAAAAATATTTTATACGTTTATTTGAATTAATAAAATTAAGTATCAAATATTTTTCAAATTCATTCCTTTTTCTATTATTCTTTATATGGTCTTGGACGAGAAAGAAAAGACATACTAGAAGAGTTGTAGCCCTTCTTATTCAAGTCAGATTTGCAGCTAAGCTCTTCTATAAGTGAGTTCTCTAGCTTGAGAAGGACAAGTAGGTCCTTACATCTTATAAATTGGACAAATCTTTTAAAAATTTGTAGATTTGATATATGTATTAAAAAATTTAAATTCAAAGATTAAATCTTTGAAATTTAACATAAAACATAAATTATTGAATTAAGTAAGTATAAATAAATTTATTTTTAAAATAATCAAATCTTTTATATATATATATATATATAATTTAAGCTTATAGTCATTGCTTGTTTCCTTTGTGCTAATCGCTAGTATGCTAAGTGAAATTTGTTTCTAATTTATATATATTATTTTATTATGACTAGTGGATGTGAAATCTGATAAATAATTAAAAATAAGAAAACTGGCATAAGATGTTGAGGCTCCTCGTTTCATTTATGTTCTATATATATTTTTGAGAAAATAGTCTGTCCATTAAAATTTATAAAAATTACTTCAAAGTCATATTTATAATGGTTAAAAAGTTTTATACCGTGAAAATGCATACTCATTAAATTCTATCACGTACGGGCGCCAGACATATATATCTATTTAATAATTTTATGCAATATTACTGTGTAATGTGTTCCACTGTATCTACCATACTTCTTCTTCCTTAAATGTGGATAACCATATTGGGTAACCTACTATCCGCGGCCTTTTCATTTTGTTTCCCACAACTGCTGCATTTTTCATTATTACAGCGTAAACTAGCTGGTTTGTAATATAATATATAGGCCGTTTGGAGAAAAATATTGATAATAAAGGTGACCATGCAGTGTCCTATTCTGGAATAAAGACTTATACACACAAACCAGGGAAAGTAGGGAACTCTTCCTTACACATGCTCAAGGTGTGACTAGTACTTCCTTTGTTTCTAGTAATAAAGATTCACACGAAAGCTTCAACGACGTAACAAGTTTGTTGGGGGTTGAGATATAGCTACACTATTACTATTGAGTATTGACATTTTTTCACACATCCAACTCATTCTCTCATTATAAATTGTACTACTCCCTTTATTTGAATTTCAAACCCATCAAATTCTTTCTTAACTCTTAAGTCCACTTCTTCTTCTCTTCTCTCTCTCTCTCTCCAATGGAGTTCCTCACTTTACTTTATGGTGCTACAGCATTGTACTTGTGCTTCCTGATCTGGAAGTTGTTTGATCAGAGAAGGGACCGAGAGTGTTACATATTGGACTACCAACTCTACAAGCCAAGCGATGAGAGAAAGCTTGGAACCGAGTGTTGTGGCAAGATCATAGGGAGGAACAAGCACTTGGGTCTGAACGAGTACAAGTTCCTCCTCAAAGCCGTTGTCAACTCTGGCATAGGTGAAGAAACTTATGCTCCAAGCAACGTCATCGAGGGTCGTGAGGCAAATCCAACGTTGCTCGATGGTGTTACTGAGATGGAGGAGTTTTTCCACGACAGCATTGCCAAGCTTCTTGCGAGGTCTGGCATGTCCCCCTCACAGATCGATGTCCTTGTGGTGAATGTCTCTATGTTCGCTTGTGTTCCTTCTTTGACTTCCAGGATCATCAACCATTACAAAATGAGGGATGACATAAAGGCTTATAACCTCACTGGTATGGGGTGTAGTGCTAGCCTTATCTCATTGGACATCATAAGAAACGTGTTCAAGTCCCAGAAGAACAAGTGTGCTCTTTTGGTCACTTCTGAATCTCTGAGTCCAAACTGGTACGATGGCAACGACAGATCAATGATTCTTGCCAACTGTTTGTTCAGGACTGGGGGTTGTGTCATACTTTTGACAAACAAAAGGTCCTTGAAGCACAAAGCCATGTTGAGGTTGAAGTGCTTGGTGAGGACTCATCATGGGGCTAGAGAAGACGCTTATAGTTGCTGCAACCAGAAGGAGGATGAGCAAGGAAGGCTTGGATTTTACCTTGCGAAGAATCTCCCCAAGGCTGCTACAAGAGCCTTTGTTGAGAACTTAAGGGTGTTGTCACCAAAGGTTTTGCCAACTAGGGAGTTGCTGAGGTTTATGATTGTGTCCCTCATAAAAAAACTGAGGCAAAGTAGTTCACTCAAGTCTTCTTCAAGTGGGGGATCTAACAAATCTAGTAAGTCTCCTTTGAACTTCAAGACGGGTGTGGATCACTTTTGCCTCCACACAGGTGGAAAAGCTGTGATTGATGGGATTGGAATGAGCTTGGATCTGTGTGAGCATGATCTTGAGCCAGCAAGGATGACACTGCACCGTTTTGGCAACACTTCAGCTAGTAGCCTGTGGTATGTGCTAGGGTACATGGAGGCCAAGAAGAGGCTCAACAAAGGTGACAGAGTATTGATGATAAGCTTTGGTGCTGGCTTTAAATGCAACAGCTGTTTGTGGGAGGTAATGAAGGATCTGAAGAATGCAAATGTGTGGGAAGACTGCATTGATTGCTACCCACCAGACTCCTTGGCCAACCCTTTCTTGGAGAAGTTTGGATGGATCAACAATGTTGAGGATGCAACCACATTCAAACTTCCTGATTTTCTTCTCAAGTAAGGTTATATTAATTAATTGTGTATCTCATTTTAAATAGGAGAAAAATGATGGGGAAAAAATAGAAGAAAGAAAGAAAAGGCAACTCTACATTTTAAGCTTCTCCTAACACAGGCATCAATGTCACACTATGCATCTGTATTTATTTTTATGTAAACTATAATTATTGATGAATCCCTCAAGGGTCCATTACCTAATAAGTAAGGTGTGTGCAGTTCCTAATGTGACTGATTGAAGCCTGGCGCACTGTTAAAAGGGTATTATGTTTTTTTTTTTTTGTACTTCCTAGTTTTTATTTGTTTTAATAGGATGTGATAATACTTTCTTCTTTTTTTTTTTGCATAAAAAACAGTGTAGTTCCTTTTTAAAAAATATATATAATTTTCATCAATTCCTCATGAACTGGTTGTTGGATAGATTATATATGAGTTTTGTGGGGTTGTGCGTGGATTCTTGCTTTTTATATTTATTCAAGAGGAAAACATGGTAACCTGCTCATTATTTTAAGGTCACGTCATACTTAATGCAACTTACATTACTTATATTGCATCTTCCAGTCAAGGTCAATCTCCTTTCCTCTAGAACGATATATTGTCCGTCTGTTAAATAGTTATTCTATTAGTTTTTTTTCTTTTTCTTTTTGTTATTTTTTCTAACTTTTTTAAACATCACGAGCTTTTATGTAATTTATATAAAAGTAAAGATTAAATAATAAAAAAATCGTAATATTTAGAAGAATTAAGAAAAGTTAATAAATGGCACTAAACGAGCTTTTATTTGGGTTCAATATACTCCAAATAGACAGGTTAGTCTAAGATACAATTGGATGCAAAAATATAGTTGCGTTCATAATGAACATACGCTATTTTCTTCATGAAACCTAACCAATAATAAATGGAGAATTTGAATTGTACACAAAAAGGTTGGAATTGATGTGAAATCTAGAGAGGGAAGGTGTAATTGTGAGGCAGTATTCATATATTCCGAGCATGGTAATTGGTAAAAGTATACTGACACAAAAACAGTTCACCTCTTCCGTGCTCCTCAGAAAGAAGGGCCCCCCACACCGATGTTGAATTTACTGTGATGTACATAAACGGTTGGAAATAATTAGTGATACATGACTTGCAAAAATGCTTGAAATTTGTGAAAATAGTTTTGAGGTCCCGGTTCGAATTTGCAAAGAAAACCCCAGCTTTCTTACGTGTTTTTCCCCCTCTCCTTTGCTGCAACAATGACATGCCCTCTAGAACACAATCTGTGAAAGCACGCATCAAGCATTGCATTGCATTGGTTCGTTGGTACTAGGTTTTGGCGCTGCAGCCTGTGTCATTCGTGACTTTCATTCATAAATTGATTAACCAACGTCAGCTATAATCATGACAACATTTGCGCTCCCTTTACAACGATGGATTAGGAAATTTTTAAAAAAATTAATTGAAAAAGAAAAAGAAAATTTTAATTTGAACCGTTACGTCGACCTTGACAATTTATATAGCGATATAAAATTGTTTTTAATCATACTTTGAAATTTTTGAAATTTAATTTAAAAATAAAGATGTGTGTTTTCCCTTTTTTTCTCTCTCTTATCTAAGCATATTATGTTTGAGTTTTTTTGAAAAAAACATATATATATATATATATATAAGAAAATAAAATTAATTAAAGAAGTAAAATTAATATCTTTAAATTTTCTCATAATTTTAACTTTAGTTTTAAAAGTTTATTTTATTTTATAACTTCTAATGGCATTAATTGGAGACCATGGATGTTACATGAATTACCGCGGAATTGTTATAAAAACAGATTTACCGCGGAATTTCAGCAAAGCATATATATATGTTCATGAATTGTTTTTTTATAGCAGGTAATTGAATTTTTTTTACACAAAAAATGATTAAAAAAAAGTGGATGATACATTATAACTAGAGTATTGATACAGTAATTTGTGTCCGAAACTTCGTCCGAATAAATAAAATAATAATATTTTTTAATAAATTTATTATAAAATATTTTATAATAAATTTATTAAAAAATATTATTATTTTATTTATTTGGACGAAGTTTTGTGTGAGTCGTCCCTAATTCTTTTTTTCCCCTACTCACTTCACTTTTCTCTCATTTCCCCAACTCTCACTCAAACACTCTCTTTGACTCCATTCTCCCCTTTTCATTAACCTTTCCTTGTGGTGATCTCTTGGGTTGAAAGTGCTGGGTAGGTGTTGCGAAGCTGGCTAAAGTGGTTTCTCTTCTCCGCTCGTTTCAAGCTTTCTTCTCCTTCCTCTTCTCTCTCGTCCTTCTCTTCCCGGAGCTCGGATCTTCGAACCGAGGTAAGGGAAGTTAGTTTTTGCTGCATTTTGGCTGAAAATGAATCTAGAAACTCACTTGATTGTTGATGATTGATGATTTGAGCTGAGATGGATGAAAATTAAGGGTTTCGAGGTTTTTGGGTCTTTGAGGAAATTTTTGAGAAATTCTGGTTTTGTAGTTGCATGTGGAAAATGTAGCGTTTATATTGATCTTTGACGAAAATGAGAACTTTTGGCTAGATTGCATTAGGGGTGAGCATTAAACCGACACCCGAACCGAACCCGAAAAACCCGAAAAAAAATATTTCTTTTGGGTGGGTTCGGGCGGGTCTTATGGGTAAATCGGGTTAAAATTTTGATTTTATACGGGTTATATTGGGCGGGTTCGGTTTTGAATTTTTAAACCCGCTAAAAACCGAACCCAACCGAAAATGAGATAAGTTTAAATTTTTATTACTTTTGTATAACTAAACAACAATGGTCCAAATTTAAAAGTCTTTATTTCAAGTATAATATAGTCATCAATTTGTAACTTATTTTTTTCCCTTTTTTCATAACTTAGATATTTATTTTGTCTTCTCCTTCCTCATTCAACTTCTCAACACACTAGTCCATTTTTAGAGTTATCTTTTTGCTTCTTTCTTTGTCTTTCTTTTCCATCTTCTTATCTCCATTTTGATTACATTTTGTGTGACTGTGATTTCTTATGGTTTTGTAATCTAACTTTATATTTCTTTTCCATGTAACAACTATGAATTTTGTTATCTTTTATTTTTGCTTCTTTAGTTTGTAAATGTTTTAACTACGAATCTATTTACACCATCTATTGTCACATTCATTCTATTTTTATACACTATTTTAAAAATATTTTTTATCGTTTTAAGCTTCATCTTCGTTAAGATAAATTGGTCTACAAAAAAATTCAAACCCGATTATACCCACCCGCTTAAATCCGAATCCGTTTCAACCCGAACCGCCTCAAATCGAAAGCTCAGTCGGTCGGATATGGGTCACATTTTTTCAAAGTCGGTTTACAACGGGTTGAACATTTTTAACCCGAACCCGACCAAACCCACCCGTTGCTCACCCCTAGATTGCATGCTGGTTTTCTATTAAGTTTTGTAGGATTTGGGCAATTTTCAAACTTGGGGAAGTTGCTACTGAGTTTCGCGCTGAGCGCTGTTCTTCGCGCCGGGCACGTGACCACCAGGGGACTCTATTTAGGCAATCCCGCCGGGCGCAAAGCTGTGTGCGCCGGGCGAGCTTGCAAATGGGAGTCTCTGGTTGGCCCACGTCGGGCGTGACTTGAGCTGCGCCGGGCGCGATATTAATAGTGACATACTTTGGGTGTTCTGGTGCCACGCTAGGCGCGCGTTTGGACTCGCTGGGCACGGAGGCTCCTTTGGAGTCTCTGCTAAGAGGGCGCTGGGCGCAATGCGAATTGCGCCGGGCGCGAGACCTTGTTAGGTCTCTGCCTTCCCCATGCTGGGCGCGGGTTAGGCCACGCCGGGCGCGTGAGACTCCTTAGAGTCTCTGCCTGGGCTTGTGTTGGGCGCAATTAATATTGCGCCAGGCGCGTGAGAGCCTTGAGCTCTCTGGCTGGGTCACGCCGGGCGCGAGTACCCTTGCGCCGGGCGCGCTGGTCCCTGGTGCTCTCTGGTTGTGCCACGCCGGGCGCGACCATGAATGCGCCGGGCGCGTATGATGATGATGATTTATATATCAATAGCTGTTAAACCTTGCTGAAATCTTAGATAGATGATGTTTATTGCTGAGTTAAGATGAAAATTGTTGTTAAGCTGAAATAGATGAATATAGATGTGCTGAAATGGGCTGTTATTGATGATTTTAAATGTTGTATTACAAGATATTGCGGTGCTCTAGAATGATGAGCTGAGTTGTGAGTAGTAGGCTGTGTTGAATACTACTTAGCCGTGTTGTATGCTGATTTGCTGTGCTGTGCTGTATATTGATGTGTTGTACTGTGAGCTGTTTAGTTGTATGTTGTGTATGACCACTATGGTGGTGTTGTTTTAGCCGCTATGTCGGTGCTGTTATAGCCACTATTGTGGTGCTGTTATAGTCGCTATGTCGGTGCTGCTGTTAGCCACTATTGTGGTGCTGTTATAGCCGCTGAGCGGTGCTGATATTGCTGAATTGCTGTGGTGTATTATAAGCCGTGCGGATGTGCTGATAGCTGTAGATGTTTTCTATTCACATATTTATATATGTATGTTGATTTCTTTACACTAGCTTACCCTTTGTTGTCTTCATGTTGTTTGGACTGCAATGATCATACTATGTATGGGAGCAGAGCAGGGATAGGTTGGTGGCTGATGGTGAGTCTATAGTTGACAGACGAAGCTGATCTGATTTGGATCTTTTTGTTGTTTTAATTACCGAGTAGAGTAATTTTGTTGTATTTTATTATACACTCTAACTCTAGTCGGATTGGGACCTTGTATATATATATATTCTAGATCCTATATTATATATTTGTTCTATCTGTCTGGTGTTTCCGGTGTGCTGTGCCGCGTGTAGTAACTAGCTGGGTCGTTATATTTTGGACACAAAATTCGGAGGTTAAATCATTACTCTTGTAACTATATCAAGTAGTAAGTTCATGATAGTTCATGGCTAGTAGTAAAAAATAGATTAGACATCATTATTTATTTAATAATTAGTTGAAGTTAAAAGTATTTGGTTTAACTCAAAATTTCACTTATTGATTTAAGGGTCAATAAAAATTTATCAGAGAAATTTCACTCTTGACAGCAAGAGTTTTTTTTTAGTAAATATATCAATCTAAAATAAGATTTTATGATTATTAGATTTCAAACTCTCATAGTAGAAAACATAAATTTAGATTGAATGATATACTATTTTGTGTTAATCGATGACAATTTAATGAATTGAAA